TCCCTACATTTGATGCTGTCACACAAAAGCTGGAGAAGATGGTCCACCCTTACAAAGATCACATTCAGAAGAGTGCCCTTTCTAAATACAAAAGGCTTCTTGCTCACATTTCAAGCACTCGGTGCAAAAACTAACATGTCTTGTCTTTCCATGGGAGCTACTTCTTCCTGAAGCTCTTTATGACTCCTTTTTTCCTTTCCACATGCTTTAGTGTTACACAAAAGAAAGCAGGCAACTGAAGCTGGGCTATGGCACCATCCCCACTGGGTATAAAGAACAGTCTTAAACTTAGCAGCACAGCTATGGGAGGGGGTGAGGGTCTGTGGAGCAATGGTGATGCACACAGCCAGGAAACTATCCTTGTTGTTCCTGAAAAGCTTTGTTAACTAAATACAAGCTGAGGACTCAAACACCTGGTGGGAGAACGCATGTTTGAGAGACCTAAGGGAGCAGAAATTCCTCACTATGCTGTCACATTGCACAGCCCCTTTGCCCATCCCACCACAAATTTAACAAATACATTAGGAGTAAAAAAAGTGGAACTTACTTGGTTCAACCAAAAAAGTGATCCCGGTTCCGAATACAAGCTTGTCTGTTGCCACACTGTTTACACATAGTCAGATAAGCCCACTTTCCTCTCCACACTCTAAAGGTGTAAAAATCAGGGAATAGAATGCCAGCGGTTTGTCCAAGGAATCCACACATGGGCTGCCATGAAAGTGCTCCAAAGTCACCATTGTTTCCAAAACTGTGAGGGAAGAAAATAATAATTTCATAGTAGAGTGATTTCAAACAACTTGATCCAGGTCAAAGCTTTTAAACCCCTTTTCTATTATCTCAGAAAGCAATGTACTTCCAGAATAAATGCTTATAGGAATTTTGCAGTTCTCTTCTTCAACACATTCCCCTTTTCCCTTTTCCCTTAAAATGTATTGCTCCTTTTTGTAGCCTCAGCTTTTTGTATGAGACCTCACAGTGTTTGTGTCACTGTGCTGCCCCCAGTTCTCAACACAGTGATATACTTCTTTACAAAAAGTGCCTCTTCCTTCCCTTTTGCTGTGTGGTATTTCCTATGGGACATGCTGTCACGTACCCTGTGTACCACATGAAGAAAACCCACGGACTTTGAAATAAGTACCTGAAGCTGGGCCAAAACAGGGGATTTGAACCTGCTTGGGACCTGTAGCATTCTAACGAAGGATTATCATGTTGCTCTGGAAAGGCTTAGATATCATCTAGCTGGAAGGCTAGACGAGGCAGGGGAATCATAGGCAGTAGGTTGGCTGACTTGGTACAGAGGGCTTTAAATGAAAGGACTTGGGGGTGGGGTACACAGTCAGGACACTCAGGCAGTCGCATCCGATGGGGGAACAAGTGTGTCCGTTCAGAGCAGCAATAAATGTGCCGTAGCTGCCTCCCAATTTAAGAACCAGAAGACCAACTGCCTTAATGGTGGGCTTGGCAGTGGCAGATCCTCTTTCATCCCTCCAGGGAAACCTACATGCTCAGTCGCCTTGCTGAAATGCCTCTACATGAAAGCACGCAGCATGGGGAATAAGCAGGAAAGGCTAGAGTTCTGTATGTGGTTGCGGGGCCATGATCTCATTGCCATTACAGAGATATTGCTGTGCCAAGAAAAAAAGTAGGGTAATTGTTGTGGGAAATTCCCTTCTGAAGGGAACAGAGGGCCCAATATGCTGTCTGGACCCATCCCACAGGGAAGTCTACTGCCTCCCTGGGGCCCGGGTCAGGGACATTGCAAAGAGACTCCCTGGTCTGGTACGGCCCTCTGATAACTATCCGCTATTGATTGTACAGGCAAGCAGCGATGAGATGCCAGGGAGAAGCCCCAAATCGATCAAAAGTGGCTTCAGGGCACTGGGAAAAATGGTTGAAGGATCAGGAGCGCAGGTAGTGTTCTCTTCAATCCCATTAGTGTCAGGGAGGAACACGGAAAGGAACAGGAAAACTAGACTGGTTAACGCATGGCTCAAAGGTTGGTGCCATCGGAGGGGCTTGGGGTTCTTTGATCATGGGGAAGTTTACACGGCACCGGGCCTGTTGACAACAGATGGTGCCCAGCTCTCTCAGAGGGGGAAAAGGATCCTCGCTCATGAACTGGCGGGGCTTGATGAGAGGGCTTTAAGCTAGGCCTGAAGGGGGAGAGGGGATATAACCAGGCTCACTAGAGAGGAGCCTGGGGGTGTCACCCCAATGCTGGGGGTGAAACCGATAGCCCAGCTCAAGTGCATCTACACTAATGCACGCAGCATGGGCAAGAAATGGGAGGAGCTGGAAGCCATTGTGCAGCAGGATGGCTATGATGTAGTCGCCATCACAGAAACATGGTGGGATGCCTCCCACGACTGGAGTGCTGTATGGATGGCTACAAACTCTTCAGAAGGGACAGGCAAGGAAGGAGAGGTGGTGGGGTGGCTCTGTATGTTAGGGAGTGTTT